GTCCGGCGCACTCCGCAAGTAGGTCATAAACGCTTGGCACACACAATGCGATAATAAGGACTTAAGGCACTGATGATGAGGTGATCATTACCAATTGGCCTGCGCGCATAATATGCAAATAAGTATCGTTTTCAAACTCAGGCACGACGCACGACAAAGCGCACATCTGTGCAAATTGAAAGTAAAATAACATTCAGCCATATTCAACACACAAATAAAGAAATACAAATCGTGAGAAAACGAATTTACTATATTTATGAAATAATATAATATGAAAATATAAAAAAAGAAGAGTTTCGGTTACATATATTTAATGCTCAACGCAACTCCACCTACAATCCCACAAAATGAGAGCTTGAAAGCTTTTGATTGGAAGGGCTTATAAAAAAATAATGCTCGAGGATACTTGCGTCCGCATGTCATCGAGGACTAACAAGTGCACTTCAGGATCACATAAAAGATTTTTATGTGCCTATATTATATACCTACTGCAAGGGCTTTTTTGTGTGCGCCGGTCGTCATCATCATGCATGTGCGATGTGCGTGCGCGCTTTCAACCCCAATGTTCCCAGAGACAGGCTGCTCTCCCGTATGACAGATGTTGGGGCTCGTTGGGCTAATACTTAAACTTGACATACATTCTGCAGATAAGCCGGTTACAATAATGGCGGCGGTCCCCGGACTAATATTTGTGCAAATCTAAACGCAATGGCGACCGCCTGCTTGAAAATGAAACATGATACAAAGTATACACAGAGAAATATTTTACGCTGGAATGATTTAATATGCTTTTTCTATGATGAAATAAGACTCATAGTTCTAGTGGGGCATGAAGTACCCATTGATATAGATATTTAAAACCCTTGTCCCTTCATCACCGACGCATTTAGCCGGAGGTCGTGGTAATAACCGACGAACTGAAGCCAGCAGAACAAATTTATTATGTTTCTCCAAAGAGGATGCACTCAGCAAACAAATATTATATTCGTCTTTTATTCTGCCAATCATCGACCAAATATTATACCCAGGTTTTCTATATTTAAAAAATGTCATTGTTTGGTATATCCTCCAGATGTACGCAAAAATTTTTGATAAATTTTCGTAAAAATTTTGTCAATTTTGGATTGGAAGCTTCAAAAGATCTGAATCCTTTTGTGTGGATTGGTCGAGGTTGTCGCTTTGTCGCACGCGCGGGTCCAACCAATCCCGTCGCTTCCACCACTCGACAATTGTCGAGCAAGTACCCATTGTAATTATTGTCACGCAATGTGCATTGTCAACACTCGACGCTCCTCCATTTTGTTCCCGGAGTTTAATAAACGTGTTTTTAATATCTAATATCAACATATTTTTGTTTAGCGAGGGGGTGCACTCGTGTGTGCGTGTGCTCTCAAGACAATATCCCGGAAGAGCCAACGAGCTGTCATCAAATATGGAGTAATATTTTTTTTACTCTTCAAGGGTGCTTCGTTGTGTTTCACCCTTTTGTTGCTCTCTGTATGTATATTAATGCGTAACCCTCACGAAATGCGTGCGCGCCTTTTCATTACGTATGTATTATTTATGTTTGGTTGGATCTGGATGCTTTATCCTCTTTTTGAAGGGGCATCAGCATTAGCATCCTCGGGAGCAACTTATTTGACTCCTAAAACGGTTTTAATACTAATATCAGCAAAAAATTATTGTTACCAAAATTCACAGGCGTATTCTATTCTCAATTTGGTTTAAAATTATTCCAGTGGACATGAAAAACTGGTTCCGAGACATTACACACCGATTTGTTGTGTTCTGTGATTATTATGCCTCGTTGTTGATGTTGATGTTGTGTTTTTTATTTCGTTTTTGATTTTGTGTGAACGCGCCGTCGTGCTCGGTCCGCCCTTTCAATTCGTGTCTCGTTCGCGACCGCAAAAATTATCTTTTCTTTGCGCTGCACTTTACAACCCGAGTATTATAAGAATATTGAAACCATAGATTGCTTCGCTTACAATTATGTGCTGGATACATCGTAGGTATTATACGAGGAAACAATTTTGCTATTGCTCAATCTTTCTTCAATCTCCACACCGAAGAACGAAAAATGCTTGCTTTGCGGTTTTGCGTGATTGAGTGTAAAATCTAAGCCGAAAGTCAAGCGACCCACAGGGATGAGATTACGTCTGTGACATGTTACGCTTTTTATCGGTGCGACGGCGGTGTCGGACAGGTAGATGGGATCGAAATTGTCGTTTGTCACCACACGGGGTAGGGCCACCCTCGGTCCGAATCAGGTGCCACATGCAGTCACCTTCTTTGAACCTAAGCCGACTTGACTATTCTATGTCCCCATTGTGTCGTCGTGTCGGCGTGTACCTTTTTTTCTTTTATACCCTCGCCGCGTATATAAACGCGCTTATTGTTTTATAACGAACGATTTAAAATTCCAACATGACACGTCCCATTATTCTCGAACCCTCTGCATAATTTCATCGTAAACCCACAAAATGTATCAATTCCTAGTGTTATCCAACCGTATTTTAGGACTGTTTAATTAGAACGCACACAGAAACACTCGCAAGTTGTGCGCCGATCGCAAAATGCTGATGGTACTGATGATATTCTGGTCTCTGCCGGCCCCTTTCTTAATGATCAGGTCTGGACGGGTCTAGAGACAATGAATATGAGACATATATCATACGACGAGTCATCCCATCCCATCAGGTATACCTCGCGCGCGCTCGCGGCCTGTGAACCTTTGCCGGCAAACTAATTCCGCGCAACTGCCGCGCAACCCCGACAGAGGGAGGCGGGTCAGCGTGTCTGTCACTCTGCGCATTAAACCCAGACGCGTCGTCTTTCGTCCACCCCCGGTTATATGCCGGCTATAACTTTGAAATTTACGGCGAAATTTAATTGAGTGCCGCGTTTTTACTCGTCTTTCCGAAAAGGGTGAATCCTTGGAGCGATAAGCATGTGTTTTCATTTTATGTGACACTCTGACACGTCCACCTCGACAGCTATTAGGAATGTAAAACAAGTCGTTACGTCGTCGATGTTTACAAGTCATAAAGATTCGGGATCTTTGAAAAATCTTTGTGTTCTTCGTCTACCTGAGCGTGGAACACAAAAAAACTTGGAAGAATGGATGAGAAAGGTCTCCATAATACAAATCTAATAAATGACCTTTCAATTTTTCATAAATATTGGAATTATCCCAAAACATGCGTGTGCTTTTCTTTGCGACGCAAAGAAAAGAAGCTTTTATAAGATGAATGTTTTGTGCTTGAGCTCATCTCTTGAGCGAAAAAGGTTTGCGTTTGCATTTTCTTTCGTTGGATGATTAGTGCGGTCAGTTAGTTTTTACTGAATACCGTGTCCGAGGGTACACAATAGTTTTCTTTTTCTTTTTCTTCTTGGATGAGTTTTTGGATGGCGCTTTCGATTTTTTCGATTTTCTAATACCCTGGAGGCAATCAACGCTTGTCAAAACCATTATCTACCTGAATCAGAAATCAATCCACACACGCGCTCGTGAGACGCCGCGGAGACAGTGGTGTAATTTATAACAACAATTTGGAGTTAATTTTACGATATTAATTGGCCGTGGAGTGAGGTGAAGGCACTTTAATTACGCGCACACATTGCGCACACAAAAGATTCGCTCATTTAGCTGCTCTTCTTCGGCTATATAGAGTTCTCGCTAACAAACCAGAACGAACCAGCAGTCAGGCTCACGGAACGGGATTTTCTCAGCCTTCTCTCGGCAGCAAGTTTTAAAACCGTTTTCAACTCCTCTCCATTACGTCGCATCCATACATATTTATTTGTCGATCTATCACCACACAAAACGCAAAGGTTTTTGGCGACGCGAGACGAGTCTGGCTGTGCGCGCACCCTTTTTGCCCTGCAGCTTGTCATAACGAAGGGCTGTGGGACACTTAAACGCCGCGATTCCATTAAAACATTTGCCACGAACGAACGACTCGCGTTTTTTACGAGCCTCGACGACGACAAGATTATTATTCATTATAATAACCCCTCCGGCGCAACTAAACGAAACTAAACCAGACTCCCAATGTCGAAAACGTGATCTAAAAGTTGCGCACGCACACTCGGCACAATGAATAGCGGAATGCTAAAAATGCAATGTCACTACACTTATTATTTTCCTTCTCAAAACTTCCAACGACCAAGGACACCTCATTTTGGTTATCACCAGTGGCGCCTGTTTAGATACCCGTGAAATAACTCCTTGGGTCTTAGTGAGTTCACGTAGAAAATTTAATTTGGTGACGAGTTGACAGTCCCTGGGTGGGCTAGGTATTAGCCAAATAGGAAAAATGTGTAATCCCATTGTCGTCAAGTCGGTAAAAATAGGCAATTGTTGGCACGCTTGTTTTAACCTCTAATCCAGGTTGGCATCTTGGCAATTTTCCAATTTTCGGCAACAAAGAATCCCTGGGTAAACATTACCGAGCTTCTCGTCAGTAAGTTATGCCTTCTGCCTGCTTATGCTAATGCTAATAGCATTATCCTTTTCCTCTGAGTGGCTGTAATGCATACGCGTGTACCTGACTTTGTAATTTATTTACGAGCTTCACGTACCCATCGTAGGAAAGTTCTAGTTGAAGGAAAGAGAGGATGAGCCGAGCGCGGGTGACAAAGGAAACCAGTTCGATAACAGGAGCCAGGCCGCGTCATCTCGTCGCGCAGCGTTTTTATATAAACCTTTGCTATGTGTTCAATTATGTGCTTCCCGGGTAGAGAGGAGAGGTGTACATAGCCGTCGCCGCGTCGCCGTATCCGAGCCCGGGTCGTCGGAAGCCGCCCCGGGCCCCGCGGGGGCAGCGGAGGAAGGACGCCGCGCGTCACCTACGCGTCGCGCCGTGTCCACCTTGTCAAAGGCACGTCCCCACCACCACCTAGCGCTGCGCGACGCCCCGCCTCGGCATTGCGCACGCTGCGCTTTCTTGTGTGCTACACTGCTCTAATCTTCCCCACCATTCGCTTTTGTGTTGCAGCGCTGGACAAGTTGGGTACGCGACATCTCTTCACGAACAGTGCTCCCGAACCAGTTCAGCCAAACGCGGCGTTTGACATCGCCAGCCTGGTCCTCTACGGCTGTCAGGCGCTGCCGATCCGCCTGAAGATCCTGCTCGACCGACTCTTCTCGGTACTGCAGAAGGAACAAGTGCTCCAAGTGTTGCATGGATTCGGCTGGACGCCGGAAGACTACGCGCGTGGATATATCTTACAGGTTAGTGTTTACTACTTTTTCTTTTCTTCTGCTTCATACTCCTTACACACACTCACACACACACAGAGACACGGTTTTAATAATATTCAATCAGCATGAATCAACTTTAATTTGATTCCATATTAATTATGTAAACACATAAATCAAGATTTATATCTTCGGGTATGATTTATTTTTCTTTTTGCTCTCGGACATTCTAAAATAATTTGAGACTTGGTTCCGTCGCTTGCTAGAATCGGGTAAATCCAATTGGAAGTTTTTTAAAAATTTATTGTGGAATTTGTGACAGTGCGGGTAATAGTGATTGATTGTTTCGTGTCGTGCATAATTTCGTCTTCGGAGAGGCTCGTCAGTGTCGAATCGATGCGTGTGTGCTTCGCGTGGCTCCTCGGTGAATATTTAAAACATTAGACGCTGCAATTTCGTGCGAGACCGTGTGTGTGCAGAGTCGCAGTCGCAGTCACAGACGCCTAAATTATAGGCCATTTTGCATATCATTTTCAAGCGAAGACAACGCAATCATTTGCGCCCGGTATGCTCGGGTATAATTTTAAAAATGAGTCTTTTTTGAGATTTACTCCGTCCGGCTGGGGCCCGTTGAGCAAACGACCACGCTCGATGTTGCACGGCATGCAATCGGGTCATTTAATAAGTGGTTGTTTGATTGCTCTTTAAACGCACAATTATATCGTGCGTCGCTGGACCATGGGAAATGTCGATTAGTTAACTTATACTTTCATGCACATCACACAACATACACACACCTATACACACACACATGCACAGGAAGTTTTCGCTCCTTGGTTGTTGGGGGACGAATGAAAATAGATGAGGATTTTGTTTGCAGGATTCGCACGCGGTCAGTTCCCTCGACCGATGGAGCATCTGTAGTCCTGAAGAGGAGCCGCTTGTGTTGCAGCAATTTCTTCGGTTTGGAGAAACTCGTGCGATTACTCAGCAATTGCTGCTTGCCCAACAGGTGCTGCAGCAGGAGCCGACGCTGGAGCGGCTTGACCGACTCGTGGCGCCGCATTCGCGTTCGCGGGCGATGTCACCCAGCCGTCGTCCCAATTCACCGCCACCTGTACCATCCGCGTTTCATCCCTCGCGTCTCCCTACGACAATGTCACCGCATCAGAAACACCCGCTGAGTTTTCTGAAACTGCCAATGAGTAACGGCCCAACGAGTTCTGCCACTACAACATCTCCATCACCGCGCAACGTTACCTCTAGCCCTTTGAACACCTCGCCCTTGAATAGACTACAGAACATGCAACCGTTTGATTTTCGTAAATTCGGTGCTGGTCTAGGCGCGGCCTTTCCCACAAACCGTCTTAGTCCGGAGATGACTAGTCGGCGACGCACATCCGAAAGCGACACCCAGGTGGGTCTCAACTTAAGTATGTCTACCTCACTCTCCTGCCTGCCGCCACCGCCGCCGATCCCGACGTCGCTTAGTCATTCGGCTGCGATGGCCGCGGCGGCCGCGTCAGTGAACTCTCTAGCGGCTGCCGGTCTAGTGTCGTCCTTTCCCGGTCTGATATCGACCCGGATGTCTACCGGCAGCAAGTCGCCCTCTACGTCTGACCTAATGGGTAACCATTTTGATGGGCAGTCGGATGATGACGACATGGATGAGAACTCACACTCGGCGCTCAATCTTAGTCGAGATAACAAGGACGCGCATAAATCCAGACAAGCGCGTTCGGTCCCCGGTCGCAAACCTGGCACGCCTACAAAACGTCATTGGGGTTCGCCAGGTTTGCCATTAAATTTGGGCACGCAATTCATCAATCCAGCGACGGGGAAAAAGCGGGTGCAATGCAACGTGTGCTTAAAGACGTTTTGTGATAAAGGCGCGCTGAAGATCCATTTTTCCGCGGTCCATCTACGTGAAATGCACAAGTGCACAGTGGAAGGGTGTAACATGATGTTCAGCTCGCGGAGGTCGCGTAATCGACACTCGGCGAACCCGAATCCGAAATTGCACTCGCCACATTTGAGGAGGAAGATATCCCCGCATGATGGCCGAAGCTCCCAGGCACACCCCATTATGATCCCGCCGCAAGCCGGTCTACTACCTCAGGCAGCCGGGTTGAACCACTTGAACCCGTTCAATCCCTTCCCACTGCTCACCCCTCCGCCAGATCTACGTCATCCAGCCGGGCTTGGCTTGGATTTCAAACACTCGTTGGATTTATCAATGCATAAACTCGACGACAAAATGACTCTGTCTGACTACAGTTCCATGCAGTTATCTACGAGCAATCATGAAGATGACGACGATGATGATGATGACGATGGGATTGTGGTTGTTGGCGGTGATGAAGATGATGAAAGTTCGGAACGGATAGACAGTACTAATGGAGTTTCCGACCAACCAGAAGATTTCAGCATGCCCACAAAACGACAGAAAATGTCGGTGTCTGATTTTGATGAGGATGTCACAAGCAATATTGATAGCAATGAGGATTCTCTCAGTGTGGTGGATACGCACAGTCTAAAAGATACTAATGAAGAATGTGTTCTTCCAACGAACAAACGAAAACGTAAAAATCAGAATCCCACGAGATGTGCAGTTGCTGCGCGGGTTGTAGACCCACCTTCTGATGGTGACTCCTCGAATGATGTATTTATAGAGAGAATTTCTATCAAAAGAGAATGTGACCTCAAAGACATCAAGCCAAAAATCGAAGAAGTCGATGAAAAAGAACCGGATGACCCGGACGAAGATGAAAGGGAGGTGGATTCGAACGATGATAAAATTACGAATTCAAAAAACGACGATGCTCCTCCTAGTCCCATTATGAATACGCCACTGGACTTGGGCAAGCGAAGCCCGGACGTAAACGCCAACGAGCCGGAGCCCGCTTCGATCAGTATTGCCCCTCTGTTCTCGCTCGAGACGATCAAGCGTGAGACAACGCAAGACAACGAGCCGGAGAATGAAGAGCGCGAAAGACCCGCGAGTTCGGTGGAGAGCAACAAGAGCGATGAATACTTCGACTGCACAAACGCACTGCGTCAGCTGGAGAGCCTTTCGCACGGCAACTTCGGCGAGCTGGTGAGTCGAGGTCTTCATCTGGGACTGGGAGGAGGACATCAGGCGTCGCAATTTCCGCCGCTGGGTTTTATGATCGGTGGCGGTCCCCCGAGTCCGGCCAGGTCGCAGACTTCCTCCGCGGGAAGCTCGAACGGTGGGGAATCGCCAGACGAGAATAGCCAGAATCACGTATACGGACACTTTGACAACGGCCAGTTCATCAGCACGATGGATGTGCCAATCGACAAGGACAACCCGCGTCGCTGCACCGCGTGCGGCAAGATCTTTCAGAATCACTTCGGCGTAAAGACTCACTATCAGAACGTCCATCTGAAATTGATGCACAAGTGCAATGTGGACGGGTGCAACGCTGCGTTTCCATCAAAACGTAGTCGTGATCGTCACAGCGCCAATCTGAACCTGCATAGAAAACTACTTTCCACCTCATCGGATAAGTCAACAGCGAGTTTGTTCATGGATAAGTCACCGTTCGCATCATTAGCGAACAGTGCACTACACAGTGACATTTTGGCACGCCTCTACTCTGAAGATGCTTTCAAAGGACACCATCTTCCACATCCTGCTGCTTTAGAACAAATGTTACTCAACGGCGATCGCTTACCACCACCTCCACTGTTACTACCACCTTTGGGTGGTTTACCATTCCCACTTGGAGGCTTCAATCACTTTCCTCAATTAAACGGCTCCTCAATCGCCAGCAGAAAAGATAGGTCATCCGGGTCAAACTCACCGTTGTCAGCATCACCACCACCACCATTGAACAGCTCACCAGGTCTCACTGCATCAACAACCAACACCTCCAATTTGGTACACTGCGTTGAGGAAGACATGCCAGCTGTTGACAAAGATGGTAATCTTCCTTGTCGTCTGTGCAGAATGACATTCACTGGAGCGCAGCAATTGAAAGACCACTGCGAAAAGCACCACCTTTACGAAATGCACAGGTGTACCGTGAAAGGGTGTGACAAGGTATTTCTATCGAAAACAAAACGTAATCTTCACGCGGAAAATGACTCCTTACACCACAACAGGATTAGGAAAGGTTTCGACGCGAGCGTTTCGTGACCGTTGTTTGATGCTAGAATACCAATTTGGTGGTGAGCACACTTACACATGGCGGCCGAGCGTATTTAATCTAGATAGTTTTGATATATGTGATTTACTGTATATTATTACCTTTTTGCTATAGTTTAAAAGTCTTTTAATGCCAGTTATATTTCTATTTATTATCGCTTGTAATATATAAACGAAGAACAGTGGGACGGGCGCTTCACAGCCGGTTCTTTAAGTTTAGGAAGCCAGTCTTGCGAAATACTCATTTGTACATATACGAAACTGTTTATTTTATTTTTTCGTAAATTAATTTAGCCTATAGGAGATCTCCGATTTGTTGTGATTATTTGATAGATTCAACGCCTTTCGTCCTAAAACCTATATCACTTTGATCTTTAAACAAATAATTATGTATTATATATGATTAGAACGGAGGAGAAGCGAAGAGACCTGCCTCACCTTAAATAAATTGCGAAACGAAAACACGACTTAACGAGTGAACATTACAATTGCTCACACAGACACATCTATACTAATCCACTATGCCCACAAAGAATTGTTTCACATCACACGAATTTTATATGAGACGCAAACTGAGTGGAGAGAAAAAAAATTGTGTATAAATTTGTCATCATCTTTCAATGTGCAATAACTGTGTAAATATATATCCCTGCTCTGTTAATGTATAGATGTATATAATAATTTCGAAATATAATGTACGATTGATTGATCAACAAACAAAAAATGAAGAAAAATCAAAGCGGGACTTTTCCTAATGTATACGACTAAAAAAAATGCAAACACAATTGATATTATCCCAAGTTTAAAATATCTAAAAAAAAATGCTACACACCTACAAGTAAAATATATTGGTTATATCGGTGGATTTATAAAAGGATGAGATTTTCAATAAATACGTAGCTCTTTCGTTTACAAATGAAATGTGTCGAATGATGAGAGTTGAAGGTGAGAACGTAAACGTTGATTAGTTATTGCATATTTAGTTATTGTGTACAGTGACCGAATGTAATTGCCTTTTGGCTTTAATAAAAATATAGCTGATGTCGTCTTAGATACCAATGCATATTTATTTTTTTTATTTAAACCTAACAATGTTTCAGTTAACGTCTAAATATCTAAAAAAATAACTGAAAGGTGAGTGTGTGTGAGGAGGGAAACGAGCCGAAATTATATGTAATTTAACTAATTTATAATTGCTTGGCGTTCTGAGAATCATCGCGTATACCCATATCAAACGCTCGCCGGCGCGGTCGCACCGTGTTATTAAGGTGTCACAAGTGTGACCGTTTTTCGGGACATCAATGCAAATTTCGCGCCGCCATCACCTCCAGCTCTTGGACGTGTAACTAATTCTCGCATATGCATATATTATATATTCGGCATGTGTGCGTCGTCCTTCTGTCTTCTGTACCTACGCCTTCAGGGACCTGAAAATTATGCGTCGCCATTTGAGAAAACAAAAGGGTACTGCTTACCAACCCATAGAGAGTTTTTCGTGTGTGCGCTTGTCGTTACATGGCGCTTCATCATTAGCCAGAGGATTTATGTGCGTTGTTTTGGCTCGAAATTAAATATTTGTAGTAGGGCCGCAACGTGTCGAAGCGCGCAGCGCACTCAATGAAAAGAAAACCGCTCTGCGGTGCTCGAAGAGAAAAGATGTAAGGTGTAGGTGTTAGGTTTAGAGATGTTGGTCCTGGGCCGCGCGCACGGAATTGACATCAACGCATCGGCGAAGAGCGCAGAGAATATGCGCCGCCATGGTCACGGTAAAGATATTGTTACAAGTATAATGTATACCCTTCACAGCGTGACGGCGAGCGCGCCGCATAACGTACAAGATCGTTGAGAGCACCGGCAGTAATTACTGGATGATTTACGCACCGATTTCTGGTTTGGTCGCTTTAAATCTTCACAAGTCCATCGTGCACGCATTTCAGCCAGAAAAAACAAAGCATTTTTAAACAAAACCCTTTCATATCGTATATTTTCCGCGCATTGCACACGCAATATTTAGTCGCCCATCGATTTTTTGCGTTTAGACACATTGTATTGCGGAACTCTTTCATAAATTTTTATCACGCAAAACTCATCACGTTTGCGAAACGACGGCGGCGGCGTAAAAAGTGAGAAAAGTAAAAAAGTTATTACACATTTTACATCCGAGCGTTTTACGACTGAATAAAATCTAAAACCTAGACGAGCGCTTCTTGCTATCAAAATTCGTTAGTTTTACGTATCCCGAGTCAAACTTTCAGACTTGTGATTAAATGTATGACTCGTGCGCGAATTCATACCACGCCTTCGTCAATTTTCAGCGCGCACAATAATTTGCTTCTTTTCATTGAAGAATATGTAAATTTTATTGATGCGCAGCACCTGCAGCTGCACCGAAATTCACAATTCCACTGAATGATTATTTTAATATCTGTGTAATCAGATTAACTACTAACTTGTTGACACGCACGATGTTATCTTTTTATTTATAGCTCTTGCGGTAATTATTTTTACACGGTGACAAGTCAAATAAAAACATTTCAGTTTCAAGGGTAGTTGATTATGAGTTGAAATAAATAGTTGTGAATGTTTGGATGTGAACTAAATAGTAAAACGCTGCTGAGAGAAATATTGTATACTACGACCTCGTTATCGTCATCGTATCGCCGTCCGGGACGCGGACATGCACATTTAATATGCCAGCTGCACCCTTTTATAACCCTTATTAATTAGTTCTGGTGCTTTGTAGGCGCTGCGCACAGGTAAACGCGAGCGGTGCACGAAAAACACGCCGAGGCGCAGAGCTAATAGTCGCCGGGGCACCCCTCGTGGGCTGTAACTGGAGCGCCATAATTATATACGAGTGGCTTTCGTGCACATTTGTCTTCTTGCACACGGCGAAAAACGGCGTGGAAAACCGAAACGCACAACTTCAACTTTGAGCATCAACAACTTTATATTTACAAGTATCAAGCGCTGTAAATTTTTGCATTTAGCGTTTGAGACGCGAGATTATAATTATATTATACGAAAGTGTCATAAAACAATATATTTCACCCAATGAGGAATTGTAACGCGGCGCTGGGCCAGTCTCTTGGGCATGCGAGTATCCAGTGGTGATTGGAAATGAATCCGCCCTCCTGGGGGTGAAGTCTCGCGTGCCCCCTGCGCCGCAAGTCGCGTACTCTCATTATTTACCGCCGCCTTTGCGCGGAGCCGGCGGTACCGGCGGCACACCGTCGTCTTCGTCGTCGTCGTGGTCGCAAGGCCACGCGGCCTAGGATCATCGCTCAACTAAATAGACTACAACCGAACGCCGCTGCTGCCGCACCGCACGGAGCGAGAATAAATAGAATCGCAGCGATGACCTCTTTATGAATGCGTGTTTTCTTCGGCGGCAGCAGGGAGCTGGAAGCAAACGTCCTTCTGTTGAACATTCCCATCAAAAGTTTTATCTGGAAAATATTAACAATTTCATAGTGCGGATATTATGATGCGATTGACGGGTTTGATGTGTGTGGTGGACGACTTACTGACCCAACAAATCCTAATGCGGGCTGTCGTTCGAGGGGATGCTTCGCATATTCTGGCATCCGTGCATGCGCGAAATTACTCTCATGTCTCTTGTCGGCTTCGAGAATATTAGCATGATGGACACAGCAATTCACAACTAAATCTGCACTCAGCATACCCACCTACGCAAATTACAATTGATGGAAATGATTGATTTTTGATTAAAATCAATCCGAATATTGATATTGCATCAATTTTTTTGCTTACAATTGTAGTAAATTTTTTTGTAGAATGTCCATAGTAAGCAGTAAATAACTCAGTTCGCAAAAGCGTCCAGCAGAGTTTAGGTCCGGCGCTTATAAGTTATACCCACTATCGAGGCGAGATATCATCTCGCTAAGGTCCACACTGTCACATTATGAAATATAACGCAATATATCAAGCTAACTGATGACATCAAATTCGAGCGCGCTGCGGAGCTTCGCCAGCCGAAGGATTATGCCTTTATACACACATTTATTAACGCGCTATCACAACTACTTTCGCTCGTATCGCGTTATTTATGTCCACAGAGCGCGCGGAGCTGTCGTCGCACAAAGCACACGGTGCTCCGGTTGTTGAATGCCGATATAATGAACACACCGCGCATTGCTGACGATCGATGCGACCATCATCGATGAATGCGATATGAACACAGAGGCTCAAATTGTAAAGACGCAAAGAGACAATCGTTAAAGTGCCGAAGCCCCGAAGGAGACGACGCATATGCATCCAGTTCACGCGCACGGCCCGAAGATGAATCGGGCGTTTTTTTTTCCAGGCGTTCGCGCCTCGCGCCAATCAAGACCGTATTGTAAACGATGACAAATCGTCGGGACTATTTAGTTGCGCCCGCGAGATTTTTTTCTCTCCTTTGGTTTCTTCCACGCTCATTTTCTTTTTGACCGTTGCGCAGCACATGATGGAATGTCGCGCTCTTCCCTCGTCTCATCAATTCCTTGCTATCGCGCGTCGGGACGTCGCCCTATGAAATATGGAACTCGCCATCAGATTCAACCAGATGACGTACGAGTTGAGATTTATCTTAATTACGAAACTATCACTCTATCACCCACCCAATCAAAAAACTTTTCTTTCGCTGCTTCCAGCTTCAGATTTACCTTAGTTAGATATAAATCAAAATCGGTGCTTTGTTTCACTCGACTTTAAATATCGATCTATACATCATTAAATCGTTTATTGATGAGCGGCATTAAAATACGGCGCTCGGCGCGCAGCATCTCAGTTATTGAATGAGTATCGACGAGTATATATTAATTTATATACTCGTTGCATTACTTATTCACGTTTTGGTGACTCTGCGGCCATCATTTATAATGCGAAGCGCGCCGAGCGAGTGATATTAATGCACCGGCTACTTTTTCACATGTCAAAATACGAATATGATATATGACGATTTCATATCGCGGTAGCCGGTGTGTGTGCGCGTTTCGATCTAATGATCTATGGGGCATGTAGAATCACTCCTACCGTCGCGCTTCTTTTTCTCGAATCAATCAATATGTGCGCGCGGAACGGCAGCGGCATTATGCAGCGCATCAAAAGAAGATTCGGGAAAATATCGCGGCGTAATACGATAAAATGTTATTTTTCATACCAGGATACGATATGTCCGCCCTCACTGTGACATTTTTTATCATTTTTTATTGTCGAGCGCAGCGTTTTTCGAATTTATCCTCTTCTGCAGGAACTATAGTTACGTCAAAAGAATGCAATCATGTCAAGTGCCCTCCGAATTGTAAATTTGAAGGCAGCGTAAAACCTCGCCGGGCAATTGCATACAAATTAATGAATACATTTAAATATTTTCGCCTTCCGTGCATAATGCACTGCTTGCTCGGGAAGAAGTGCACTGCCGCGTGCATAATTTACGCGAAGCGTATCCAATACACATCCCACTGAAATTGTGCATAAATCAGCCACAATTATTCAGGTGTTGCTTTCGTGGTAAGTACTTACTTATGTACCTACTACCATTTGAGTGTGTCCCTCGACGTCGTTAAATAAACGGCTTTTCGCTAAATTCCTTCGTTTCGTGCGGCTTTTTTATTTGTGAGTTTAATTTGCAAGATGGGTTCGGGTTCGCAGAACACGCGTATATGCGTAATGCCCTAATGCGCGGTCAAATGGACCAGTTTACCCCTATTCGGCAAAGCACTCTCGAGCGATGCCGCATCAACGGGATCAGAAAAGTAACACAATGAGGATGACTGTACGGTTATTCGGCAGAAAGATCCACCACGGCATAAATATAAAATCAATCTATCTTGTGGCCGCACCAAAAGGGGGTGAGAGAGTGGCTTGCCAGGCTCATTTCCATTTTTAGCTCTCATCTTTTACACACTGTGCCTTACACAATTAAATTATTCGACCAAATGAGACTAATATTTGGTAATAAAATTGCGTTTAATAAGCGTATGTAGGTATAGATATTTATTCTTGCATGTTTAATCGATATTTTCGGTTGAAAAAACAAAAAAATCATTGATTTTTGTC